AGAGGGGGAGATGTTGAAAGCCACAGCCGAAGTGGCCCCAGTAAACTTCCAGCTGACTGGCTCACCACAGTCCCAGCAAACTTCCAACTGCCAGATGATTGGCTCCTCTGCGGTGATGCTCATTGGGCTGTTTCCCTGCCCTTTCAGACCACAGAGCTGCTCATTGGGGGACTCTTTTGGCTCCGCCCATGCGACCCAGCCAATCGGCCTCAAGAGTGGGAGGAGTAGGGGTTGAGAGGCTCCCTGGAAGCCAGTGGTGGCAGGTGGGCTCTGAGGGAATTCCTGAAGAGCTCATGTGATGCGGCGTGTGTGTTCTAAAACTAAAGTTCGTTTCTGCTTGACAAGTGGCTCGTGAATTGCACCCAGCCAGACTGCGGCAGCTTTGCTAAGTTGCTTAGGGCCTTGCTAAGGTACTGAGGCTGGCTTCTGAACTTGCCATCCTCCTGCCTCAGTCTCCCAAATCACTGGGTTTACAGGTGTGTAAAATGGCACCAGGCATCTCCCAGTTTTTAATGACTAATTAGCTATTTTCTTTATTCTATAATTAGGCTGCCTTATGGCTAAGGGAACAGGTAACAAAGAATTGGAAATGGGCAATGAGAGGAATAGAATTAATTTCCTCAAATTTCAATATCTAAYGCTGGTATAGCTCTATGTGTGTTTTAAGACAATAATCACAGCTTTGCTTTTTGACAGCCTTATTTGGAGAACTGGGTCATCTGAATAAATAGCTGCCTTTCACTGCTATACCCAACCCTTCTAAACACTATAATACATTAAGTCTACTGAGGCTGATTACAAAATCAGCATAAAAAATTTAGATCAAATTCATCATAGAGTTGATATGCATCTTAACACCTCTACTGTTATGTACTATAGGATACAGAGTATGTCCTATAGTACATAATTGTATGACAATAAAATATGCTCATTCATTCCTTAGTGGATACAGAGTGATGATCAAGCCCTCCAAAAATTTACATGATGCAACAGGCAAGACAACTGAAGGCAAGACATGATTAGTGCTTAAATCTCAGTAGAACAAAAAGAGAGAGACTCGTTTGGACCCAGGAAATAGATTAGAAATGTGTTCACAGGGCTGGGGTTGTGGCTCAGTAGTTGAGAGCTTGCATAGTTAAGTGTGAGGCCCTGGGTTCATTTATCAGTACTGCATATAAATAAATGTTAAAAAAAAAGAAAAGAAATGATAATCACAAAGATGGCGGTTTTTATGCTATATTTCCAAAACATAGAGAAATGGAGAAAGATCTTAGCTGAAGGATCAAGGGAAGTAAAGGTACCAAGACAAGAACATGTAGGGTAGACTGGGCATGTAGGGACTTGGAGTGGGGGAGCCATTTGGATCCAGCCAGTGAGCCAGGGCTGGGGAGTGTTCAACAGSTACACTATGACATAAAACTAAAAAGGCAAGTAAGGCCTTTTTGATTGGTTGTAAAWATGACTTTGAAGAATATCAAAATATTCAACCCCAAAATACAGTTTAGAAAGGAATTTCAAAGTCAAAATAAGATATTTTTCCATTTTTGGTACTGGGGATTGAACTCGGGGGCACTCAATCACGGAGCCACATCCCCAGCCTTCTTTTGTATTTTATTTAGAGACAGGGTTTCACTGAGTTGCTTAGTGCCTCGAAATTGCTGAGGCTGGCTTTGAACTTCTGTCTCAGCCTCCTGAGCCATTGGGATTACAGGCATGTGCCCAGCTAAGTCAAAATAAGATATATTTTTTAAAAAAATTTTTTAAATATTTATTTATTTATTTTAGTTTTTGGTGGACACAACATCTTTGTTTGTATGTGGTGCTGAGGATCGAACCTGGGCCGCACACATGCCAGGCAAGCGTGCTACCGCTTGAGCCACATCCCCAGCCCCAGATATATATTTTTAAATATATATTTTTAGTTGTATATGGACACAATACCTTTATTTGGTTTACTTATTTTTATGTGGTGCTGAGGATCAAACCAAGTGCCTACACATGCAAGGCAAGTGCTCTACTGCTGAGCCCCAACCCAGATATTTTTCTTATATGACAATTGTACCACTACTTTCATATTTATATCAGCTATCTTTTTCAGCAATATGATTTAAGACAGGTTGATTTTAATAAAGATAAGCCACTCATTCTTATTGCTGTAGATATTGCTGTAATGCAAATGGTAGAAATAAAATGAGTAAATTATTAATGCCTCTTTTAATTTCAAGAAATGAAATTTAGATGGTATGGTAGCACATGTTTAGAATCCCAGCAACTTGGGAGGCTGAGGCAGAAAGATTCCAAGTTCAAGGTCACTCAGCAACTCATATGAGATCCTGCCTCAAAGTAAAAAGGGGAGGGGATGTAGCTCTGTGGCAGAGCACTAATAAATAAATGCAAACAAAATAAAATTAAAAAGGGGTTGGGATTGCAGCTCATTGGTAGAGTGCTTCCACAACATGTGCAGGGGGACCCTGTATTCAATCCCAGTACTGCAAAAAAAAAAAAAAAAAAAAAAAAAAAAAAAAAAAAAAAAAAAAAAAAAAAAAAAAAAAAAAAAAGATAAAAAAAGAAAAAAAACCTAAAGGACAATGCAGTGTGATTATGTAGGAAGAAAGAGAAAAACTATAAAATATAGCACTGGGTTAGATCTCTTATGCATGAAAAGAAAGGGGGGGCAGTTTAAGATCATGACTCCTTCTCCATGCCCACATTCAATGCACCTAAAAACGGTTCCAGCATTCATAAAATGAAAATGACAAAGTGAAGCTGAGATAAGAAGGATGGCTGGCAGTATCAAATTAAGGTCAAAATTACTTCCACTCAACATATTCAAATCTAAATTTGCCTGTTAACCCTCAAACCACATCTGTTATGTTCCTATAGCAAGATCAACATTATTTAAATGTCAACTATTTGACCTACTGGCATTTTGGTGTCTGCCTTCTTCATGGGCTAATACAGTCCTTTTTGTAGAGCATCATCTTTTGCAATTTTTGTACACTTACCCCTGAACACCAGAATTAACCATTCAAGATAAAATCCTACTGATTGAAGTGTTAAAACATCTTCCAAAGCTGTACTTTCTTTTATTTGTATTTGTATTTAAAGTACACAATATGATCATTTGATATATACACAGTGAAATGATTACCACTGTCAAGCAAATTAACCTACCCATCACTTTCCACTTCTTTTTGAGTTTGTTTTTAGTTTTTGAGTACCTAAAATCTATTTTCTTAGCAAGTTTACAATAAACAATACAATATTACTAACCACAGTCCTCATGCTATCTACCTCTAAACCTACCCTTATCAAATGGCAAGTCTATATTTTTACTTCCCTCTTTACCTCCATAACCAACACTCTACTATTTGACATTTTAAGAATCCTCATGTAAAGAAGATCAGTATTTCTTGCCCCCTCTATATTTCACTTGCCACAATATTTTTCAGATTCATGTTGTCAAATATCAGCATTTCCCATTTATGGCCGAATAATATTCCACTCTATTTTACACCACAATTTTTTAAATCCAGTTATCCACTGACTTGCACAAGTTGTTTCCATAGTATTACTATTGTGAATAATGCTGTAATGGACATGATACTTCTACAAGGTGCCAATTTTCTATAGCTACACATACCCAGCAGGAGGATTGATGGGCCATACTGCGGACAGTCCTTTTTTAATTTGTTTTCCCTTATGGCTGTACCAATTTATATTTCCACCAACAATATACAAGGATTCTCCTTACTCCGCACCCTATCAATAATAACTTTGTTTGATAATAGCCATACCAACAGGTGTGAAGATACATCTCACTGTGATTTTGATTTACACTTCTCTCATAATCAGTGATGTTGAGCACCACTAGTCATTCTTTTGAGAAATACCCATTCAGGTCCATTTTTAATCATGTTATTCAGTTTTGCCTATTGTTGTGAAAGCTACTCATATATTTTGGATATTAACCCCTTATCAAATTGTACAGTTTGTACATATTTTTTCCTACTCCATAGAGTACCTTTCTCAGTTTTCTGATACCACTTCCATCTATTCCTTCATACTGCTAACAGAGTTTTGACTTTTTAAGAGATATGATGCCATAAATACACCAAAAACATTTAGCATGGCACTCAAGGACATATAATTGAGCTTTTCAATCAAATCTCTGTTTTCTCTCTTTCACTTTAGACACAAACTACATACRCTAGTCCTCAAGACTTCCCTGCCTCAATCTTATGAATGAAAAAGTTTACTCATTCTTTAAGATCAGGTTCTCAAACACTTCTACTTCCACAAAATCATTTTGTGGAACTTCCCCTGTTCTCATTTGCATTCTCTCAATAGAACTGTGTGTAACTCTAACAGAGCATCAAAAGTCTACCTACTTGATACAGATTTATGGCACGTGTTCAAATTAGATGTAGAATACTTTTATGACAAATTTGTATCTTGAAATGCAGTGTTTACCTAATGTTTAGATGGTGATTAGAACAATATTTTCAAGACACAACAATCCCCAAATTAATTCACAATTCATTTAATTCACAATTCATCTACTGACCTCATAATTTTCTACTTCTCCATCTTCCACATCCAATTCAAAGCTGAAAGTTGGGCCCACTGCAGGTGGCACTGGAAGCATTGATCTGCAGTGAAAATAACAGTGATATGTTAGTAAATTCAATGACAGGACAGGAAGAACAAAGCCCAGTGCAACCCTTTAAAAATATTAACTTTGCTAGCAACAACAACAAAAAAGATGATAGCAAAACACACCATTTACAACAGTATTAAAAAAACATATATGGGGGCTGAGGTTGTGGCTCAGTGATGGAGTGGTTGCCTAGCACATGCGAGGCCCTGGGTTAGATCCTCAGCACTACATAAAAACAAATAAATAAAGGTATTATGATCATCTACAACTAATAAATAAATATTAAAACATAAATGTAAGGATAAATTTCATAAAACATACAAGACTGTGCAATACCAACTGCATAAATACTATTAGGATAAACAGCAATATATCTTGTCAGTAGACTAGAGGACTCAAAATTAACTGTTAAAATATCAATTTCCCCTCAAATTGATCTGCAAATTCAATATAATCCCAATCAAAACCTAGGAAGATTTTTTTTTCTTTTTAAAGTAGAAAGATATTGTGTCCAGTTACAACTAAAAAATAAATTTAAAATAAATAAATAAAATTCACTATGTCCATATACAACTAAGAAAAAAAATAATATATATATATAAATAATCAGAACAAGGTGAAACAGGAATGCAGTCTTCTGGTGTAACAAGTACATTTCCTACCTTTCTTAAAAGGTAATTATAGACATGTGAATAAGTTCTGGCTAACGGAATGTAGGGAGTAATATGTGCTATGCTACATTTAGGAAATATCCTTGGGAAAAGCAGGCATGCAGAGGGACTCTTTTTCATTTTTGCTAGCTGGGAAATGTACATGATGACTAGAATCAGAGGAGCCAGATTAGATCATGTAGTCCCAAGATTATAATAGCAGAACCATTTCTCACAGTCACAAGGATAACAAATCACCCTGAATTTGCCTACTGCTAGACTTCAATATGCAAAAGAGAAAAAACAATCATATTTAACCCATGAGTATTTGTTACAGGTAAATTTAATCCTAAGGCACACAGATAATTCCTAGTCTCCTTTCCCATAAGAGAAATAGCACCAAAAGCTAGATAATCAAAAGTGATAGGAAGTGATGCTAGCTGTTAAAAAAAAAAAAAAAAAAAAAAAAGGCAAAGAACTTCCACCTCTTAATTTATTAAACCTATATTTTTTGGCTCAGAGATATCTTTTCCCCCATTTTTCCCATGTCCTTGGCTCTTTCTTTACTCTTAATTGGCTTCCTGACTTTAACCCCCTTAAGTAAAAGCAATATCTAATTAAATGATGAGTCTGTACAGGATTCAAAAAGGAAAGAATCTCAAGGTTTTCAAAATTTAGAATTCAATAAAATAAGAAAGAACTTACAACACATATGGCAGTAAGCTGGGATGATAAGGGGGAGGTGGTATTGGCTGCTGAGATCGATATCTACTACGTCCTGTGAGCCTCCGAGGCATAAATGGAGGATAAGGCTGCAGAGGAAAAAGCGTTCAAAGAATTTAAGATCATTCTACATTTACAAATAATTAATATATGAAATAAAGATTGTTAAAATGTAGAAAGCTGTTCACTGTTCAAGTCGCATTTAATATTTCTTAAATGTTAACACAGATGTAATAACCAGTTTAAACCATACACTCAGGTACATTTCTAAATATAAATGTTAGCAAGAATACATTTAAAGGCTGGGGCTGAAGCTCAGTGGTAGAGCACTTGCCTAGCATGAATGAGGCATTGGGTTCAATCCTGAGCACCACATAAAAATAAACAAATAAATAGAGGCATTCTGTCCATCTACACATCTACAGCCCAAAAACAAATTGTTCTTTTTTTTTGAATACATTTAAGGGGTGGGCTGTAGCTGAGTGGCAGAGTGCTTGCCTTAACACACATGAGACACTGGGTTCGATCCTCAGCACCAAAAAAAAAAAAAAAAAAATAAATAATAAAAAAAAATCTTAAAGAAGAAAATAGGCTGGGTGCAGTGGTGCATGCCTGTAATCTCAGCAGCTCTAGAGGTGGAAGCAGGAGGACAGAGTTCAAAGCCAGCCTCTGCAATTTAATGAGGTGCTAATAAGCAACTCAGTGAGACTCTGTCTCCCAATAAAATACAAAATAAGTCTGGGGATGTAGCTCAGTGGTCGAGTGCCCCAAGTTCAATCCCTAGTACCCCCACCCCCAAAAAATAAATAGAAATAAAAAATAAACAATCATTCTGTCCAATGACCAAAAAAAAAAAAAAAAAAGAATGCATTTAAAACTTCTGAACATGTTGAGAGCTACACACTGATACACCTCAAATAGTTTGTCATAGCAATGCATAAAAACTTACTACTCCAAAGGACACCTCCTGATGCAAAGGATCATGTGTCAAGAACTGCAAAGGAGCTGATGGAGGTAATGTTGGGGGATGGGCTGATGGGGGATAAGTAAAACTTCCTACTTGAAGATGTTCTCCTAAGAGTTCCACTTCATTTTCTATCCTCTGCAGAGGCTGTAGAGAGAAAAGAAAAAAAAAAATGTATATAATTCTAGTGTTCAGATAGAATGTAGACAAATTTTTTTAATAATCAAAACTAGGAATCCAAAAATATCTTTCTGAGGGAGGGGGCACTGTGTATTGAACCCAGGGATGCATTGCTACTGAGCTATATATCTCAGCTCTTTTTAATTTCGAGACAGGGTCTAAGTTGCTTAYGGCCTAAGACGCTGAGGCTAGCCTCAAACTTGCAATCCTCCCATCTTAGCGTTCCGAGTTGCTGGAATTATAGACATGTGCCACCGAACCCAGCACAATCCAAAAAAATATCGTTAAGGCCATAAATCTATTTTCCCCTCCCCTACGCAGTGCAAGAGATTCAACCCAGGGCCTTGCACATGCTACACTCCTAGCCCAAGGCCATCTATCTCCTGATGTTCACACATCATTCTAAAATCCACACAAGTGGAAATAAATTATAGCAAAATCTTTCTACCATCAATTTCAATAGAAAATGTCTGAAACAAATTTTTAAAGGATTTTCATTACAGGATATATTTCATTTACTATTTGAACATTCACTTAAAACGAGAAAATTGTCAATTTAAGTTACTTTTTCAGTTGTGGCATTCAGATCTATGGAAGTATTTCCAGACAACCTCTCTCAGATGAAATAGAATATAGTATGTATTCATAAGTCAGAAAACAGGGCTAAATGCTGGGAATGGTGGCACGCACCTGTAATCTGAGAGACTCAGGAGGCTAAGCTTAGCATATTAGCAAGACCCTGTCTCAAAATAAAAAGCTCTGAGGATACAACTCAGTGGTAGAGCACCCCTGGGAAAGGGGGAAAAAAAAAAAGAAAGGCTAAATGCAATGAAGTACAGTAACATTATGCTATAGTAAAAAGACTACGGGCTTTGACATTAGAATCTTGGCACTGTCACCAATCAGCCATGTGACTTAATCCACACCTCAGTATTATAATTTATAAAACTGACAGGATGAAATGTTCACAACATACTTGTAAAGTATACTGTGAAGCCGGGTGTAGTGGTGCATGCCTATAATGTCAGTGACTTGGGAAGCGGGAGGCAGGAAGATCAAAAGTTCAAGGCCAGTTTCAGTAACTTAGTGAGGACCTCAGGAACTTAGACCCTGTCTTTAAAATAAACAAACAAACAAATAAATAAGGGCTGGGTTATATAGCTCAGTGGTTTAAGGCCCTGGGTTAAATCCCCTCTACCCCCACCCTAAAGTTTTTGAATAAAGCCAATGTACGTGAAGCACATAGCGCTATTCCAACCACATAGGACATTTATTGGAATATAATTAACACAACTTTAAAAGAAGTACAATCCATCCATCCATCCATCTTGTAGACTGCATCAACACTTCATTCTGTTTTAAGGTTCAACAGTATTCCAYTGTATGGAAACATCATCCATCCATTTATCAGTGGATAGACATCTTGACTCTCTTGACTTTTTAGCTACTGGGAATAATGTTGCTGTAAACATGTACACATTTATGTGATGTTTTAAATTCAATTCTCTTGAGCAAAAATATAATTTTACATGTTACTTTGACTCCTTTCAAAGCTCAGTTACAGAATAAGCAACAAACAATTACTAATACTTTAATTTGGAAGTTTATGCATACTTGAGAAAAATCACAACTACTTACACTATGACAATAYCAATGAACCTAAGTTCTACTTTGATTTTTATGACTGAACCTTTCAWAGAATTCCAAACTTAAATACAAGTGACAAAATTTTACTTAAACCTCAAATTTCCAGATACAGGACTAAGTAGGAGGATAATTTAGGCATGAACCCTATTCTAATTCCAAGAAAAGATTTTTTAAAAATATATTTACTTTTAGTTATAACAATATCTTTTATTTTTATGTGGTGCTGAAGATCAAACCCAGTGAGTGCCTCATGCATGGTAGGCAAGTGCTCTACCTCTGAGCCACAACCCCAGCCGGAGAAAAGATTTTCTTATAGAAGCAGTTTTAACTTTTCAGATGAGTCAAACTTCAATCATAATTGTTTCTATACTTTTCAGGAGAACTAAGAGGTTAAGTGAGTTCACCTTCTTTGGTACTCAGAATGGTGCGTAACTCCTTAGTAACAATTGTTAGGTACTGCTGTCCAAGACGGTTAGATTCCTTTCACAGAACTGAACTGAAATCTTTAAAACAAACAATTTCCACAGGTTATTTTCCCAATTTTCCCTTAATGCTTAATGGTTTACATGCAGAGTCTGGCCTGACCAAAAACCATTTGGACCTTTTCATTTCTGGTGGTAATAGGGAACCCAGGGGGGCTCAGCCACTGAGCTCTACCTGCAGACAATTTTTGCTTATTTATTTACTATTATTGTTATTATTATTTTGGTACCAAGGATTTAACGCAGGAGCACTTTACCACTGAGACACATCCCTAGTCCTTTTTATTTTTTGAGATGGGACTTCACTAAGTTGCTGAAGCTGGGATCAAACTTGCAATCCTCCTGCCTCAGCTTCCAGTTACTGAGATTATAGACATGTGCTGTCCACACCCAGTTATCTACCTGCAGCYCTTTTTAAAATTTTAAACTTTAAAAATAAATTTAAAATTTATTTTTCAGACAGGGTCTTGCTAAGTTGCTGACACTGGCCTTGAAACTGTGATCCACCTGCCTCAGTCTCCTAAAATTGCTGGAATATAGGCATGTGTCACCACACCTGGTACAAATGGAATTTTTTCCTGTGTCCTTCTTTTTATTTATACAATGTTTTCCCATGCTAGTCCCCACACCCGAAAATAATGTGCCTCTCAGCTATATTCTAATCCCAGGACAGAATTAACTATTTCATTTGCTTTTCATCAGAACATAGAAAAGCAGGCCCTCAGAAAAAAAATAACTGAGACTTAGAATTTAATTTACATGTCTAAATAAAATAAATATTCTAACAAGCAATAATTTCACAATATTTTCAATTTAGGTATACATATTTTTTCAATTTAGACTTAGAAGTTAATTTACATGCCTAAATGAATACAAATATTCTAAAAGTATTAATTTCACAATATTTCAATTTAGAGATATAAAGGTAAAAAACAGCACAACTAAATTTTTCTTCAGATTTATGTCCTAAAGGAATGAAATTTGACAAAGGACAGTAAAATAACTAGAAAAAAAAAATAAGAAATTGGGCTAATTCAATGCTTATACTATTTTTGTTTGTAGATTCCTTTAATTCTTTTAAGAACCATAAAAATAGCTAAGTTACAGTGTTTAAGCGGCAATAACCCACTAAATTCTTCTGCCAGGTCTAAATATTCTGGGAAAATTAAAAACACAAGATACCTACCGATCGTGATTGCTGTGTTTGGAAAGGGACAAACTGGCCTGGTGGTGGCAAATGAGGAGGATGATGGGGAGAAAGGTGAGGAGGATGTATAAGAAATGGATCACTAGAAATGAGAGGTGGGAATGCAGCATATGGTACTGGCAAGTGCTGAACTGAACATGCCTGAAGCATCTGTAAGAAAAATTATTTTCTGGTTAAATATATCAAAATATATAATTAATTTTTTAAAAAGATACATTGCCATGTTTCCCCCCAAATCATACAAAACATTTTAAATAACATTAAAAATAACATACTTCTGTATTTTTGCATCTATTAGTAAGTGTTGGTCAGAATATTAGTTTTTTTAAAAGATACAACACCATTCAAATTATTGCCATACCTCCCCCAATATCATACAAAATATTTTTAATAACTTCTATTAAAAATCCTACTATATTTTTGTATCTACTAGTAAGTTACTATCCTGATAAACTCATTTTAAATAATCTATTTTACATAGTTCTTCCAAATCAATTAAAATGCCTCTTGGGTTTTTTTTAAATACTCATGAAATAGAAGGATAGATGCTATACAGAAAAGAAACCTCATTCTAGTTCTTTTAATATGTAGAAGACATTACTATATTCTAAGAAGTTCTGTTTTTTCAATCTTGTAGAAATTTTTTCTTTCTAGGGCCTTTTCTTATTAAAATTTTTTTTTGTTTGGGCAGTACTGGAGATTGAACTCAGTGGTTCATGTTTGTTAGGCTCTACCTCTAAGCTACATCCAAGCTTGTTTTATAAGAGCAYAACTTACAACTGCTTTATGGTTTGTATGTTGGCTGACAATGGTTATTACTGAGAAACCAAGTTTGGGTAAATTAATCTGTTAAACTGGTACTGGGATATGTATATTTGCTTTAATCTCATATTCAGACCAGGTATTATAGTTAGAATTTTTTTTTTGCCAATGCTTTCCTTTGAAAACATTATTGATGTTAGTTAAATTATTTAGAGCCTCTGAATTTCAGCACCTTCATTTGTGAAATAGGTTGGACTGTACTTGGTCACATAAACTTCAGAGGCAAAAAGTAGTGGGTGTGTCAATCACTTTTTAGATTCAACACCTAGAAAACAGACATGATAACTATTTCTATCACAGGGACCAGGCACTCAAAGTACCCATTAAAATCATTGCCCATAGGTGTTGACACTATTAATATTACAGTGTCTGAGACTTAAGCCAACCTTTATCTAGTTTGTTTTTGTTTTTTGGAGAAGGGGGAACTGAAGATTGAATTTGGGTGCTTTATCACTGAGCTACATTCTCAAACCTTTTCTTTCTTTTTCTTTTCCTTTTTTTTTTTTTTTTTTTTAAGACAGGGGTCTCATTAAGTTGCCAAGGCCCAAAACTTGCAATCCTCTTGCCTCAGCCTCTCAAGTCACTGGGATTACAGGCAAGCATCATGAACCTGGCTTTATCTAGCTTTAATTATAAACAGTGTTTACATAGGAAGAAATATGGTTTGACAAGATATTCAATTAAATGTAAAATTTAAAATTCTGATTTAAAAAACACGATGTTTTAAAGYTACTTTTATTAAATGGTTACTAAAACCAWGTTTTTGAGATTTTTTACTTGTAAGAGAAGCTACAAAGATACTCTCAAATTTTGTTTGCTTATGTAATACACATAGCCATTTTAAAAAGGGATTTCAGTAGTAAATGACAAAACCAAACACAGGTTGGTGTTTAACAGTTAAGATCTAATGAAAAGAAAGACACAGACTTACTGGAGGAGGCACACTACAAACAGGGAGGTGTTGTCCACTGAAAACCACAGAGCATCCTGGGACCTGTTGTGTATTGCAAGCAGGAATGTGCTGGCCTGTGCAGAGTGGAATCCCATGTGGTGCCACTGTTGTTACCGTATAGGAAACAGGGACTGTTCCTTGATGGAGCTATTAAGGAAGAAAAATAAAACTTTAGCTATTTGGCTATAATGTTAATTATTAGAAATTAATATTTGGACATTTATTAATTCCCCTTCTCAGATGCACAGGTTTTCATAATGTACTTCCTCCAGCAGTTTCAACCAGGATATTCATGGTCTTTGTACAGGAAAGCCGACTATTCTAAGAATATATATATGACCCTGGAAGAACTAGGGCTAAACTTTTCCCTCAAAGAGACTTGAAAAGCTCAGAGTAATCTAATGTTATAATAAATCTTCCAGCATGCCATGTACAGCAGAAAACTTCTAAAAGAGTAAACTTGTAAAAATGAAAGTTTGTATACCTGGTTATAGTCGATGGAAAAAGAKATTTAATTCCAACTAGTGAAACAAAAGAAAATACTATTAAAAAATTATTTGGGATGGGGATATAGTTCAGCCATACAGGATTTGCCTAGCACATGCAAGGCTCTGGGACCAATCCCCAGCACTGACCCCCAATATACACATAAAATTATCTCCTTCCTTTGTAGCCAACTTTAGTCCCATCTTCTCCACCCTGAGGGCAAACAATATTAATAACATATACTCTTTCTCCATGAGCATATAAACATCTACAGTCATGCATATTGTTTTAACAGAAAATAAGTCATATTTTTCCTTAATTTTGTACCGTAGATATGTATTCAACTTGTTTCTCTTGAGACTAGCCTTTGTTTTATTTGTTCTTATTTTTTTTTTTAGTTCTGGCATTTGAACCCAGATCCTTGAGCATGCTAGGAATGGGCTCTACCACTGAGCTATATCCCTAGCCCCTAGCACACCTGCTTAACAAAGTCCTATCATATGATGATAACAGACATTTGAGTTGCTTTCATACTTTTGACAATACAAATGACTATTAAAAAAAACATTACTTTATAGGTAGTTTTATTTATCTCAGAGGCACTACTGGGTAAAGGAGTGATGCTTTTAAAGATACTGTCAAAGCAGCCAGGCACGGTGGTACACATCTGTAATCCCAGTTACTTGGGAGGCCAAGGTAGGAGGATTACAAAATTAAGATCAGCCTTGGCAAGCTGACATGACTCTGCCTCAATAAATAAATAAATAAAAGGGCAGGGGATTTAGCTCAGTGGTAGACTATCCCTGAGTTCAATCTCCAGTATGGGGGAAACAGAAACAAAAAAACACAGATTTGAGGAAGTCATTCTCTCAGCAGTAGCATATGAGGTCCCAATTCCCAGAATCTCTATTCAAAGATAACTTATTTGTATTAGAAACATGTTTACATATCCAAGGTGGAAACAAGCTATTTGTATGCTTGCCTCAAATTGGCACTTCTCTGATTAGAGAGGAGGAACTTCTTTCAACACAGTTTATTACCATGTAGATTTTATCTATAAATAATCTATATCCTTTGCTCACTGCCCATTTTCTAGTTTGTCAAAACYATTTTTAGTTTTGTTTTATTGTTTGTAGCCAAAATATATTCCCAGTCTATTTTTAGTCTTGTTTTATTGTCGTTTATAGCTAAAATATATTTCCAGTCTATTTTTACCTTTGCTCCTAAAATTTAACTGAATTAAAATTTATATTATTTTACAAAGTATTCAATTTTATATTAACCTTTTTATCTAGGAAAATTACACAACTATAGTCTTGTCCTTCAGAAATTAGTATTCTTTGTAAAATAGATATATTATTATTTATTTATACAATTTATTTATTTATTTGGGGTTAAATCCAGGATCTCATGCATGCTAGGTAAGCATTTTACCACTGAACTAAAACCCCTAGCTAGATGTATTATTCTTTATTAAATTTGCCATTCAAAGTTCTTTTTAAGTTCAAAGTTTTGTTATATTGTATTTTTCTCTATTTGCATGTCAAATCCATTTAGTTTTTGTACTAAGATACTGATTTGCATTTATGTATCTGAAATCTAACAAACCTTAGCTACTATTTTTAAAAACTAGAGGGCTAAGGATGGAGCTCAATAGTAGAGAACTTGCCTAGCACGCAGGAGGCCTTGAGTGCAACAATCAAACTAACTCCCCCCAATTAGATATTTTTCCTTTCTTACATCTGCTAAGAGTTAACTCAATTATTTAATTTTCTTGTCCTTTTTAAATATATACATATATTTTTTTAAATCCTTTTTTAAAAATATTTTTTTAGTTGTAGATGAACACAATCTTTTACTTATTTACTTTTATATGGTGCTGAGGATCAAATCCAGGGTCTCACATGTGCTAGGTGATTGCTTTACCATCGAACTATGACCCCAGCCCTTAAATATATTTTGAAAGTTCTATCTTGGGGCTGGGGATGTGGCTCAAGCAGTAGTGCACTCGCCTGGCATGCGCGGGGCACTGGGTTTGATCCTCAGCACCAAATAAAAATAAAATAAAGATGTTGTGTCCACCGGAAAACTAAAAAATAAATATTAAAAAAAATTCTCTCTAAAAAAAAGTTATATCTTACTATAGAGATAAATACATAAATATAGAAAACTTATATATACCTATCCTATATTTGACTTTAATGGAAATTATAAATTTTACTAATAAAAACTGATTTCTGATACTTTGCCATAGTTCAAATATATTTCATTGAATCTCATGTCAATCATGACTATTTTTTAGTGTACTAAGAAAAATATTCCCAATTATGTGATATGACTATCACAGAAATTTTATATTTATAAATTTATTAAAGGCATTGTAATAGAGACAACAGTTGTGTGTTCATAAAAAGGCAATTATAAGTAAAATAAAGTGGTTAGTCAATACTTCTTCACTTTTAGAGTCTGACTGTACTGAGTCACTTTTCCTCTCAATGTATATATGTTTTTTCCAGAAGAAAGTTAGTACTATCAAGGAGGTTGGTAATGCATCATTTCTTAAAATGATCAATAAAAGAAATAAAGGCTACTTGGTGCCAGATTCTTTAGTCAGGTTTGTAATTATGTAGACTTGTCTACTTTTAACTTGTGCTTGGAGAATGAAGTTAACTCACCTCTCCCTAAAACACAGATTCGATGTTGGAACAAGCAAAAAGCAATGACAACTATGTTATAAACTGCTGCCTGGCTGACACCAAATTAAAATGCTGTTAATTGTGAAACACAACCAAACTTCAGAATGTTAAAAAATGAAACAGTATATTATGGAATCAATAAAATATAACACACACCAAGATCCCCATGGAGTTCCATAAGAGATCCTTCCCAAAGTGACTTCACAGCCACTCCCTAATCCCCTTGTCATCCTGACTTTTGTGGTAATCTGTTTCTTTTAATGTCTATACCACCTAGATATAACCCCCCCATAGTCTTATGTTGATTAAATGTATTTTAACTGCCTTCATGGTGACTAATTTTTCTAAAACAAAAGACACAAAGTGTTGGGAAGTGATATTGACCAAGTTACGTTGTTACATTGTATGCAAGTACAAACGTGTAAAAACAAATCTCATCATTATGTACAACTATAATACACCAATAAAAATGTGGGAAAAAAAGACAACTGTGGGGCTGGTGTTGTAGCTTAGTGGTAGAGTACTTGCCTGGCACATGTTAGGCACACTGGTTTCAATCCTCAGCACCACATTTAAAAAACAACAACAAATGACAAGTGTGGATATGTATACTCATTTCTTGTGTGTATCAGAGTAGAACTGATGGATCATACAACAGATGTGTTTGACATTAGAAATTCTCCCACTATTTCCCAAAGTAATTATATCACATTTTACTCCACCAGCATTGGAACTGCCAACCTTTTTCATTTTCCTATAGTGATTTGTAGGGTATCTTACTGCAATTTTAGTAATAAATTTTGTAAAGTTATTTTTATGTTCTAGATCCTAGTCCTCTCTCAAATATAGTACTGTAAATATTTTCTTCCAAGTAGTGGCTTGTTACTTTTTGAATACTGTTTTTGGATAAGCAGGAAGTTTTAATTTTAATTTTAATTAGTATTTCATGAAGTGTCTGATTAAGAAATCTCTGGTATCTCATAAAGTGATAATCTTTTTCATTAATAATTTTACTGGGCTGGGGTTGTGGCTCAACGGTACAGCACTCACCTAGCAAGTGCAAAGCCCTGGGTTCGATCCTCAACACCGTGTAACAATAAATAAATAAAATAAAGGTATTGTGTCAAACTACAACTAAAAAAATAAATATTTTAAAAAATAATAATTTTACCTTTCACATTTAAATCTAGAATCCAATTTTAATTTTTGTATGTGACATGGAGTCAAGAATCCAGTGTTAAATCCATCTAAATGGATATCTGGTTGCTTCTGTGTCATTCTTTTTGTTTAAAAAAAAAAAAAAAAAAAAAAGATCTTCCTCCCCCCTTCTTGAATCCCTTTGGAATCTTTATAAAAAAAATTTAAGTGGCCAATATATATTTACTTTTTACAATGAACACAATTTATTTTAATTAAGTATAATTTATCACAAGTTCTCTATTCAATCAGTGCTTTTCCTTTTAAGAAAGTCTTTCCCTACTGAAGGCTATAAAGCCATTTCTTTGTTATTTTCTTGAAAGGTTATTATTTTGCCTTTAATACTTAACTCTTTAATCTACCTGGACTTTACCACTGTGAATAGTGTGAGGTAAAGGCTCTAGTTTCACATTTTCTTTTGGATACCCAATTGTCCCAGCATCATTTATAAAAATTCTGAGAGGGATACAGTGACACATGCCTATAATTAATCCCAACTGTTTGCGAGGCTTATGCAGGAGGATCACAAGTTTGAGGCCAGCCCTGAGCAACTTAATGAGACCCTATCTCAAAAAGAAAAAGGGCTGGAGATGTAGCTCTATTGTGGACGTCCCTGGGTTCAATCTCCATTATTTATTTTTAAGTATTTTAGGTTTGCTGGCCATCCTGATTTCTGCACTAAGAAACCATAGACAACGGATAAACAAATAAGCACATGCTCATGTTGCTTATTTCACCACAATAAGCTACGTTTGTTTTCTCCTGCTATAGACTACATAAGGTCCTTTAAGCCGCCACAGAAATTATATGATCAACTTTTCAAGTTACATCAATAATCTTATTAGAGATTTATATGGGATCTCATTAGTTCTATATATATCAATTTTGAAAACTGACAACTGGAAATTTTATTTAAACTTCCTCAAGTGTGTTACAATATTTTACACAGAGGTCTTGCACAACTTGTTAAGATTGATTCTTAATTTCCCTCATAAAATACTTTGATTTTTTCACTGTTATTTTTCTTTGAACTTTTATTTTGTGTAGAATTTAAAGTTCTTCATTTTAAGAGTTAAAATTAAATAAAATAGCTAATTTCAGGTAAAATTACAAAGAAATCTGCAACACAGAATCAAATAAACAAAAAAGCAACCAACTTTTATCACTTGTATTTCTGGAACATTTTGTTATTATACCTGATCATGTATGTCAACCATTACTGCATTCTGCTGGGGTGGATGAGCAGCAGGATGTAACAGACGGGGAGATACATTCGGAGGGTGGAAGGCTCGAGGTTCCTCTATTGCTTGCTGCTGTGCATAAGGGAGATGGTGATAGTTTTCATCCTGACTAATGGAATTATGTCGAGACAGACGATCCCTTCTTCCTCTCTGGCGCCTGACAGGAGGACTGAAACAGTAAATGTCAAAAAAGAGGGTCATTCAAAGGTGCTAAGTACACTGGAGAAAAGATAGCAAATGGTGCTGGGAAAAATTGAACTCCATACGCAACAAAATGAAATTAAAAATCTCTCTCTCACCATGCATGAATCTCAACTCAAAGTGGATTAAGGACCTCGGAATTAAACCAAAGACCCTGCACCTAAAAGAAGAAAGAGTAGGCCCAAATCTCCATCATGTCAGATTAGGCCCCAACTTCCTTAATGAGACTCCTACAGCACAAGAATTAAAATCAAGAATCAAGAAATGGGATGGATTCAAATTAAAAAGTTTCTTCTCAGCAAAAGAAACAATCAGTGAGGTGAATAGAGAGCCTACATCTTGGCTCTTAATCTCTAGGGTATATAAAGAACTAAAAGCTAAACACCAAAAAAACAAATAGCCCAATCAATAAATGGGCCATGGAAGATGATATACAATCAAACAGCAAATATATGAAAAAATGTTCAGCATCTCTAGCAATTAAAGAAATGCCAATCAATACTACTCTTAAGATTTCATCTCACTCCAGTCAGAATGGCAGCTATTAAGAACACAAACAACAATAAGTGTTGGCGAGGATGTAGGGAAAAAGGCACACATTCATACATTGCTGGTGGGACTGCAATCTGGTGTAGCCAATCTGGAAAGCAGTATGGAGATTCCTTGGAAAACTGGGAACAGAATCACCATTTGACCTAGCTATCCCACTCCTTGGTCTATACCCAAAGGACTTAACAGCATACTACAGGGACACAGCCACATCAATGTTTATAGCAGCACAATTCACAAATAGCTAAACTGTGGAAGCAACCTAGATGCCCTTCAATAGATGAATGGATAAAGAAAATGTGGTGTATATATATACACAATGGAATATTACTCAGCAATAAAAGAGAATAAAATCATTGCATCTGCAGGTAAATGGATGGCATTGCAGAAGGTAATGCTAAGTGAAGTTAGCCAATCCCCAAAAACCAAATGCCAAATGTTTTCTCTGATTTAAGGAGACTGATTCATAGTGGAGTTGGGAGGGGGAGCATGGGAAGATTAGATGAACTCTAGATAGGGGAAAGGATTGAGAGGGCAAGGACTGGGGCACGGGGATAAAAAAGATGGTGGAATGAGATAGATATCATTACCCTAACTAAGTACATGTATGAAGAAATGAATGTTGTGAATATACTTTCTTTATTTTTTAAATATTTATTTTTTAGTTGTAGTTGGACACAATATCTTTATTTTACTTACTTATTTTTATGTGGTGCTGAGGATCAAATCCAGGGTGATTTGGGTTTGATCAAGAAAGCATATTCACAGGCTGGGGTTGTGGCACAGCGGTAGAGCTGAGCCACAACCCCAGCCTGTGAATATACTTTCTATAAATCAGAGATATGAAAAATTGTGCTCTATATGTGTAATATGAATTATAATGCATTCTGGTGTCATATATAACAAATTAGCATAAAAAAGAATTACATTGAAAAAATCTAGTACATTCTCTTTGACTAAAAGCAAAAACAGTAAAGGAAAATGAGTGGTTTATCTTCATTTTTAGTACCGATGTAAATAATCCAGAAAGTCAAGAAATAATAAAATGGATACTTCTATACTTCACTTTATTTTATAAACTTGATGCTTCATGTACGTTTTATTGAACAAAGTGGAATAAACTAACATGCTACTATTATGATCCATCAGGATTCTGTATTCACTCTCTTAGATACCCATTGACAGTATATTCTTAGGTAAACTTAACTATTAAATAATTGCTTTAGCTCTTCATTGGCTCTAAAAAGTTACAAATTTAAGTAGGTTTCATCAATAATTTTCAAAATACATAGATTTGCAATCATTATACCATTCCAATGGTGATTTTCTATTCTCCTGATAGCTTGTGTGTATGTGTGTGTGTACTGGGGCGGGGATGGGAGGGAGTTACTGGGGATTGAACTTAGGGGCACTAAACCACTGAGCCACAATTCCCAAACCCTATTTTGTATTTTATTTAAAGGCAGGGTCTCACCGAATTGCTTAGTGTCTTGTCATTGCTGAGGCTGGCTTTGAACTTGCCATCCTCCTGAGCTGCTAGGATTACAGGTGTGCACCACCATGCCCCACTGTATATTTATTAACAGGAATTCTATAAGGAAGAGTTGTCACTCATCTCTCATTTGTTTATTCAGTTGCTTATGATCAATATGGATTCATGAATATTTACTCTGCTCACTGGGCTATAATCTATACTACTATTTTACTTTGTTATTCAAATTGTTCCATTGGGAACACTTTCAGCTTGGCTCCTGTGCTCTCGTTCAATATACTCCCATGTTTTTAATATCTGGAACCACAATTTACTCCAGGGTCATCTTTGTAGTTTCATTACTCCAGCCCTGGATTTAAACAGTTCTACAAAAGCCCTGGTTCCTTTACTGCAGAATGGTATCTGGAAGCCAAGACCAGATACTAGGAGCATTCACTGTTTCCAGGCTAAGAAAGCAGAACAAGGGCTGGGGATGTGGCTCACTGCTGAGCACTTGCCTAGCATACATGATGTCCTGGGTTGAATTCACAATAAAAATAAAACAAATAAAGCAGAAAGAAATATTTGTATATACACATATTTATGCTAACCCATGTTATATGGTGTATGTAAACATTTCCCCCTCCCCTCCCAAAATCCCATCTGTCCACAAACCTTTACCCTACACTATTTTTTCCCCTCACAATTACTGTCACTGTTACTCATTCCCTATTCAAAAGTAATTCCTATGAAGGTCTTGAAATAATCACAAAACAAGATCCTGCTGTGCTAACAGGAAAGTCCCTTCATGATTTTGATCCCTATCATTCCTATATTGACTGCATCTCATTGCCTCTGCTGCACAACTTTGCGCTAGAATGTTTATTCAGAATTACTGAAACCTGAAAACAAGGAAGAAAGACAAATATTTCTTTCAGCTGCAATATTTCTACCAGTGATGGATATGTACTTTGCCATTTGCTTCAGGTCTAACACTTGTAAAACAGCACAATGCTGTTCTTCTTAACCTCACTTTTTTGCCTTTGTTGTACTGATTTTTATATATATGCTATCTATTTAAATGTGTGGAAATTATACATGCTAATCTTTCAGTGATCAGTCACTGGAAGTTTTCAAACACATATATTCATTTTTCTAAAATCATCTCTCTGTTCTATCCCCTTCTCATGTTCTGACCTTTTCTGAATTTCTTTCGTAAACAACAGACCCTTATTCAGAATTAGCATGTTTTTGTTTTCATTGTTAACCAATGGTCTTGAACCCTATTTCTTGTATTTATTATTCTGCTTCTGCTTCCTGGATAGAGCATAATATTTAATAATACAAGCAGAAAGGATCTCTTGCTGGTTAATTTTCTGAATATGTATCTATATATCTGAAAATGCTTTTACATTCTGACATTAAAATGATAAATCAGCAGGTACAATTCAAAGCAAAATGTAAATTCTCACATAACTCTGAAGATGTACTCTACTGCCTTCTTATATATAATGCGGTTAATGTTAGACAAGCTTATGGTCAATTTGGTTCTCATTTCTTTGTGTATGGTCTATTTTCCACTTCAAGTTATCTGTGAATAATATTATTATTATTATTGGTGGTAGTAGTTGTATCGGGAATTGAACTTTGGGATACTGGAACATTGAACCACATCCCCAGCCGAGTCTAGTGTTTGTTCCTTGGTGTATGTTCTGAAATTTCACCAAGATCCTGCTTAAAACTCAGTTTTTCTCCAATTCTGAAAAGTGATTTTGTATTATTCTTTTAAATATTATTAGACATATATAACTGAAAATATTACTAGACATATATATAAAACTGATAGTTTGATATCATTATTTAAATTTATTTCCCCATACTTTCTATTTTGTCCTTTTTATAAGACATTTTGGGAAACTCCACTTTTTCTGACCACTTATTAAATTTTACTAATTGAGATTTCCAAGTTGATTTTTAAAAATGTATTTACTGTATTTATTTTTATGTGGTGCTGAGGATGGAACCCACCACCTCACRTGTGTGAGGCAAGTGCTCTACCGCTGAGCTATAACCCCAGCCTCTCCAAGTTGATTTTTATGAATATCCTCTTGCATCTCTCATACTTAATCTACAATTCTAATTTCTTTTAACTATTCAAGTAATTCTGTTAATTACTGAGTATAATGCCTCTATTTATTCAAGTTGTTTTATTACACGTAGTATCTTTCACTTTGTTGGTTTCTTTCAAGTGTTTGGTTATTTCCTGATTTTGTGCATCTTTGCATCTAAAATCTTGCTACATTACTTTCAAAATCACATCTTCTTGCACAGCTGGCCTCTAGGAGAAAATTGGGCAGTCAAGCTTAAAGTTGTATACAGAATATACAAGAAGCTAGTTTTCTAGACAGTTAAATTCTCCTTACACCACCTTTGTATTGCCATGAATGAAGAGCATGATACTTCTTATTAATTCAAGATTCTATACCTAGTTACTATTATAATCTGACACTTTCTTCTTGATCCAGAGCATTTTTCTATAGCCTAGTAGCTTTTACACATGTACATGAGGAAATGCCTATATGAAATTTCCTAATATTTCTTTGTAACAGTAGAAGACTTGACCCAGTCATTACCATCAGTAGGTAGATATACAGTGTGGTACCTTAATAAAATGAAAGCTTATGTCATAGTAAAAATAAACTTCTGCCACCAATGCCCTTGGGTTTAATCCTCATATTAGTAGCTTAAAAAAAAGGAAAAACACCAACAGGCATTAAAAACTATAATGAAAATTGGGCAGGGTGGCGCATGCCTTTAACTCCAGCGACTTGGGAGGCTGAGACAGGAGGATCGTGGATTCGAAGCCATCCTCAGCAACAGTGAGGTGCTAAGCAACTCAGTGAGGCCCTGTCACTAAAATACAAAATAGGGCTGGGGATGTGGCTCAGTGGTTTGAGTGCTTTGGAGTTCAATCCCAAGTACCACCCCCCACTAAAAGGAGGGGGGGGCGAAATATAGAGAACAATGACAAATTCCTAGATGAGTTCACCCTCTAGGAAGGAGGAAGGAAAATGGCAGGTGGAGGAGGTAGAGGCACGCAGTGGTGGCAACCCACTCTTTTGTTTTGTGGAATCAATAAAGTTCTATTTTAACCTAGGTTTTGAGTATATGTGTTTGCTATTTTTTTTACCATAATTTGTTTTACATGTTTTCAGTATATGACAATTTGCCATATTAAAAAAAATACAAAAATAAAAGCAAAACAAACAAAAACTCTAAAACCCAAAATAAAACAAAAATTATTTTCTCGGGCTTATTTAACAGCTATAAAACAATTGGCCTAGTAGCCATACATTATTTTACTAAAATTGTTCCATATAATTGACTAATAATGTACTGAGAGTAAGTCTTAGTGTCACAACAGAATATAGCTCAGTTACCATGTTTGGAATCTGTGTTCATTTGGAAAACAGAACGGTGATTGTGGTATTTCTTCTGTATTAATCTGCTCAGGATGCCATAAAAATAACACAAACTGGGTAGCTTAAATAGGATCTTATTCTCTCAAAGTTTTGGGGCTTGAAGTCTAAGATCAAGATGCCACCATGACTGATTTCTGGAGAGAGGTCTTCTCCTGACTTGAAACAACCACTTCTCACTGTGTTTATATATGGCAGAGAATGAATTTTTTGATGCCTCTCCCTTAAAAGGACACTAATCCTATTAGACAAAGGTCCCACCCCTTATACCCACATTTAACCTTAGGTACTTCCCTTAGAGGTCACATCTCCAAATACCACCTACAGTAAGGGGTTATGACTTCAACATATGAATTTTGGAGGTACACAAAAACATTTAGTCAATAATACTTTCCTAATTCAAGATTATTACTTTCCTTTGATTATCAACATCCTGGATATGCAAACAGGTATGTCACCCCAATTAGACAATTACCTGGAATAAGAATTTTATGACCTCAAGCAACAACAAAAGAGGAAGCTCAGGAAGAAATGCACTCAGGAAGAAAAGGCAAGAGCCAAGTCTGGTGGAAAGGAGGACTAAAAGTGAACTTCAGTTATTCTTCCACAACTCAGGCGTCACATTTTTTTAAAATTTTTATTTATTTATTTCTTTTTAAATAAGAAACATACTTAAGTTCCTAATTGCTTTAGGGGATACAGAAGAAACAGGAATGGAGTGGCAAAGAGATAGTTTATTCCTAAATGTCCATATTTCCTTACAGTTATGAACTATAGAATGCATTTTTCAGTAATCAGGATTATAGACTAGCCCACATAAAGTTTTAAACCATAAGGTAAAACTGAATTCATATATGGTGGGGGATGTGGCTCAGTGGTAAAACACTTGCTTGACTAGCATGCACAAGGACCTGGATTGGTTCCTCAGCACTGAAACACCACCAACAAAAAATATATAACGTCATAGAAGGACTTTAGGTAAATCACTTTATCCCTCTCAATTTCTTCAGATGTCAATTACAAGATAAATGATCTCTTAAAATCTAGTACATGTTCATGTGCACATGTGCATCCACTGATGTGTTAATGAAATGCCTATACAAATATGTCTTCTGATGTTAAAATTACAAATCTACTAATAAAAGAAAATTTTAAGAAATAAATTATAACCAACYAACCTCCTTCTGTTGCGTGCAGGTGTGTTGCATCGTTCCCCTGAGAAGTGATGTTGGCTTGGTCGAACCGAAGGGGGCTGCCTATTTGATGTCATCTCCCATGGTCGCATTGGTGGTGARGGAGCTGGTGATGCTGATGTATAATCAAAGACTGAATGAGAGAGGCGCTGTCTCTTAGGACTCGGACTATCTTCACTCTGTCAATGCAACAAAATCAATCAACTGAATAAGGCCTTTTAAGGATTTCATAATACTGCACATGCATAATTATTTAAATATATTTACCCCCAAAATGTAAATGAGAATACACATGCACTATAAATCTAAATGTAAACCCCTAAAGAAAATGCTGTTAAAGGTAGAAAGAAGTGAGATGCACAACAAATATTATCAAATGAAAAATTAACTTTTTAAAAAATTAATGATAAAATGTCAGGTAACAATATATAAGGCATATGATAGTACAATGAGCTTTAATATAGTACTTGACCTTATCTTTAAAATCCTAATCAACTTGAGAAATTCTACCATGCTCTTTGCCAATTACCAGTTAATCMTCTAACCATCAATTGACAAGTTCAAAGTTTGGTTTAGGATACCCCCTCCATCTCACAGGCCCTCAACTTGCTTCTAAATTCTATTACTATTACCACTACTATTCTCTCTCTGTTTGGGCTATTACACATATATTTTTAATGATGATTACACAGAGAAAGTAAGATTTATATCAAACAGAAATAGTCAACTGATATAGATCATCATTTCCTAATTAAAATGTCACAGCACTTTGGGATTTGTCATTTTCAAGGGTCACAAAACTGATATGATCACTTAATTGCATTATTGACTTTCCAGGATTTTCCCCATCCAATTTGATTTCTCAATTGAGTCTTACAAAAGTACAAACTAGCTGAAAATCTGAGAGAACTACATGTTTTCTAACAGACCTATTTTCCAATCTACTCCTACAAGTTTTAACTACTTAGATATTAGGGTACAAATTTAGGTTGCAAAAAAAAAAARAGAGAGAGAGATTCCTATTACATGCACAAATGTCATATTAAAACATTACCCAAAAGAGTCCACATATCTACATATTACAATGTAGGATTTTTTTTAAAGATAAACATAAAACAACTGATTGCTTTCTTTAAATTGGGAGGAATGAAGCAAATTGCCAAATGATTACATTTGATCATTCCAAATTATTCAGCAGAGATGTTCCAAAAGTCATGCCATTTTCCTTCTATATTTAATATTACAATTCAATTGTCACAATAAAAATAGAAAATAGTTCAGAACCATTTATGAAAGTATGCTTTATAGTTCTTATATGAAATATAAGTATGCTTTATAGTTCTTATATTTATGAAAGTATGCTTTATAGTTCTTATAAAGCTGAGAAAAGTTCCTCTCCTTCTCTTTGTGCTATGATAATTTCACATAAGTAAAAAAGAAAAGACAAACAGAAGTGAAGGGAGGCAAGCTATTTATTCATTAGTTCTCTGGTACATCTTAATTTTTTTTTACTGAAGGTAATAGGAAGCCAGGATGGATACAGGGACAGGGAAACATTAAAAAGTATACTATATATATATATTAAAAAAAGTATACTATATACAATGTGGTTTCATCACATCCTTATCAATTCTAGTAGTTTAAGGAACTCAAAAACATCCTGTTTCCAGAAAAGGGAAGTGAAATAAGCTACAAAAAAAAAAAAAATTAAAAAAAAAAAAAACAGAAGAAACAAAGGATACTAAAAATACTTTAAGGTAAGATAACATTGAATCTATAATTTTATACTCTAAACTATTAGTCTCCAAACTATCAATCTAGTAAGGACAAAAACAAGAACTTGCCAGATGTACTGACTACTAAGACTTAAAAAAATTGATTCTCGTACATCAGAAAATTTTATGTATTTTATGTATATGCTTGACCATTTCCTCTCAAGATTTGAAAGAGAGATATGTTCCAATAAAAGGTAGAATAAATACAAAAGTGCAAYCAAAAGAAATCTCAGGAATGGCAATGCAGCAAGTCTGAAAAGTAATCATTCCAAATAAAAACAATTAGCCAGGTGGCTCTTAAGAAAAATGATCGAACTAAAAAACAGTATGTCTGTGATCATGGAAGTAATTAGTAAAATTTAAGCAAATGGCCCATGTCATAAAAAAGATAAAAGGCAATCAGAGTTCAGCAAAATAAAGGAATCAACTCCATCTGATCTTGTAATCTAGAGCATTCTTTGAGTGGAATAGGTAATAAGAAGATTACATTTCCTTCTCCATGGGCCAAACATGCTCTTCGTTCTGCAATGAGTAAATTACTAATAACCCTGACACAATGAAGAATGTTTACTGATTTTCAATAATTAAAATCAACCTAGAACAAGGCATGAAGGATTACCATTGTACTTCCTGAATTGTGCTTTGATAAATAACTCTATAAAGACTTCTATTGTGACAAAAATCGGCCTAAATATAAAAATCATGAAACAAAGATCTAAAGACATCACYAAGACCCTTGCAAGAAGTTAAAACTTCCAAAGCCATATACTTAATAATAGGAAAAGTCATCCCACTGGCATAGAGTCAGCAAGGAAACACCTGGCTCTATCTGGACGTCAAGTGCAGGATGGATTTCTCTCTCAAGAATTTAAACCCAGGTTCACATCTCACATTAGAGTTGGAGTCTAAATTTCCCTATACATGCTGTGAATCTCTTAGGCTTAGAAATTAAAATTAAAAAAACTCATCTATAACCATGCTACTACAACTCTTGATAGAAGTAAACAYAACGTTGAATATGGAGGGGATAAAAGATAACAGTTATTTTTTTTTCTTGTGGGGGGTTAACTAGGGGTTTGAGCTGGGGCGGGTGGTTTACTGGGGACTGAACTCAGGGGCACTCAACCACTGAGCCACATCACCAGCCCTATTTTGTATTTTATTTAYAGACAGGGCCTTCCTGAGCCACTTAGCGCCTTACCGTTGCTGAGGCTGGCTTTGAAGTCAAGATCCTCCTGCCTTAGCCTCCCAAGCCACTGGGGATTACAGATGTGTACCATGGTGCCCAGCAAAACAACAGTTCTTAAGACTTCTGCATATCTTGGAAACATCGGATTCTGGCCTCAATCCCCAGTCTCTATATCATAAGGTTTGGGATTGACAACCCAAAACTGGTGCTTCTAATATGATCCAAGATGATGCCTGATGCTGCTTGTATGAGACCAAACTTTGAGAACTACTGAACTAAGAGAGATAAGGGACTCTCTTAAGAAAAAGCCTAAAAGGATAAATTGCTATAAAAGATGTTTTGAATTCTCAGGGGGAGAAATTCTTTTCTCTCATTGATTCTATGCCAGTGGACTGACTTTCAAAATACCAGATGATGACAACTTAAAATTCATATGATACAGATTCAAATCAGGTTCAAGTTACTGTCCTTATTTGGTACTGAAACTGTAGAGAAATTATTATACAGAACACTGGTATGAACTAAGGATCAAGGGAGGTGAGAAAGAAGATGTGTAGGATTACACTTAGCATTAAGTGTCTGATAAAATGATTATAAAATTATACCTCTATTAATATCAAACCATTTTATAACCAAAACATCATTATTAGAAGTGAAAACAACCCTGGAGGCAAGTGTTAAAAATGCATTCCACTAGAGTTAGAGAATATTATGCTAAGCAAAGTAAGCCAACCCAAAAAACTAAAGGTCAAATGTTTTCTCTGATTAGTGGATGCTGATCTATGATGGGGGTGGGGGACATGGGAAGAATGGAGGAACTTTGAATTGGGCAAAGGAAGGGTGGTGGAGAGGTGTTATGGAAGTAGAAAAGATGGTGGAATGAGATGGACATCATTACCCTACTTGCATGAATGGTGCATCTCTACACTGTGTACAATCAGGACATAGAAATGTTGTGCTCCATTTGTGTATGATGAATTGAAATGCATTTTGCTGTCACAACTAGTTAAAAAAAAAAAAAAAAACACAAACATCTGCTTCCCACTGGGGCTGATCCTGCTCTCTATTCCAGCATCACTTGTGGTCCCAGTTCCTTGTTGGAAATAAGCATCGTGTCAACCTTCATTACAGATTCTGGGGCCTTCTTCGATTCTTCCAGGACTGGCTGGGTGACCTCTCTGAAGCAATGTCTTCCTGGAAGAGCTCTCACTGGCACACATACAGTAGGACTTGTCCTCAGTGCCATGAAGACAGTTCTTAAGAAGAGGATATAAGAATGGGGCAATGCTCATGATTGGTCACCCAGGACTGCTTGATAACTGTAGTGACTGTGGATCTCAATCACGTCATTGTAATCCCTTGCACTRGCTCCAGACACTGCTTTGGAAATGGCACTGCTGAATATTGCTGTTTCAATTCATGATCTCTTTAAATTTGGTTTCACTCACTGTAGAGGGCAAAGGGCCCGAATGTTGTCTGCCATGATGATTTTAGGGTGTTGAGGTCTCCGTGTATGTATCTGGTGGAAGCTCCACTGTAGAATTTGGTGGGGGAGAAGCAGCCTGGATTTAGGTTAAGGGCAGGTGGGATAGCCCCAGGGGAAGGTACAGAGGAGGTAACTGAGGAGRGAAGGGGATGAGATGTTGATAGTAGATGGGAGGAGGAGGGAGAGGAGGGGAGGGGAGAAGGGGAGGAGGAGGAAGGGGGGAGGAGGAGGAAGGGGGGAGGAGGAGGAGGAGGGGGAGAGGACGGGAAGAGGGGAGAGGGATGGGAGGAGGAGATGGAGGGGAGGAGGAGGGGAGGGGGGGGGGGGGGGGGGGGGGGGGGGGGGGGGGGGGGGGGGGGGGGGGGGGGGGGGGGGGGGGGGGGAGGAGCTGCCCCAAAGCTTGGAGTGGTAGTAGAGGTGAGAGTAGACTCATCAGGGGAAGGGCTGAAGGAAGGTGAACGAAGTAGTGCTGTACACTGGGGGGCTTAGCCACCTAAGCAGATGAGGGTACAAGCTTCTATAATTTCTAGAATATCCAATTGGGTCCCTTGAGGTATTTCCACTCTTAGAATTCTGACACACTCAAGTTTCTGACAACTGTGACAGTTGACCAGCCCCATAATATTCACTTCCCCCATCCCAGACCCCACTTACAAACTTTTCTGGGSAGGAATTCTACCTCAGCATGCCAAAGCTAAGAGCTATGTGTGTGGACTTTGTTGACATCAC